ATACACTTTCCCATCAAAATTGACTAGCTGTGTGTTTATACCTTGGCTTGGGTGGACTCGTTTCAGTTTACCTGTTTAAGGCCTATCACAGCGCCCAGCCTATGACAGACATTCGGTAAATATTTGTTGAAAGAAATGAAGGAAAGTCATGGATGCCATGTCTCCTGTGATGGTGATTACAGAAGACCGGTTGATGCTGGCACCTTCCAGTCTCCCCGGGCTGTGTGTGGCCTCCCCCGAGACACAGCTGGGGGGTTCCAAGGTCACTGGATGGTCACACATCTGCCAGGGGCCCCGAGGAAGCACCCACTCACCTCCCCAGGGTTCTCCTTTCAGATTGTAGCTGTACCATTTGTTCCAGCGACAATTCTTGGACACCAACCAGGTGTCCCGCAGCTCAGCACATTTCTGACGCTGACTGACCCACAGTTAACACCGACCCCACGGGTCATGAACTCGGTCCCACGAGACTACCCACGCCTTCAGACGCCAGCTCAGGTCTTGGTTATCCCCAAGTCACCCACGCTTCTGCCCAGCAGACGACGCATTTTGGTGTTCCATGACTGGCCCGCCCAGGTTCAATAGTTCACTAGAACAGAGTCACAGAACTCAAGAAAGCACTAGACTTATGATTCATTTTTATAAAGGGTACAACTCAAGACCAGGCAAATGGAAGAGACACATAAGACAAGGTTTGGGGGGTAGGGAGGGGCTGTTGTGTGGAGCTCTAATGCCGTCTCCGGGCACCCCACCCTCCCAGCACCTCTGTGTGTTCACCAACCCGCAGCTCCCCACGCCTTGCGTTCAAGGCTTTTTATTGAGCTGTCATTACTTGGTCGTGACTGTTTAAATCTCCAGCCCCCCGGCCCAAGGTTGGGAGTAGGGCTGAAAGTTACCCCTCCTCTATTCAGCTGGGCAACCAGCTCCGGTCCTGCAGCCACTTCTGACACGGCCCCGCCCCATCAGAAACTCAGGTGTGGTCTCCTGGGGGCTCTTCATGAATAACAAAGACGCGCCGACCACTGGGGAAACTCCATGGGCTTCAGGAGCTCTGCACCAAGAACCAGGGACAAAGACATGTTTCGTGTGATATCACAGTGGTGAGACACACTTTCGCAGACGCAGGAGTGGGTGGTCCTTCTAATCTCAGTTCATCTAAGAGGAGCGGGGGCTTGCCTGGCCTCCAGACTCCTGGCTGGAGTCCCTGCCTCCGCCCCTCCCCCAGTGTGCTGCAGTTTGGGGTTATTTCTTTGTCTGTAAAGATTGAAGGAACAGCTTCTGGAATGTGGGTGCCTGTTTGCTTGTTGTGACAGGAGCAAAGGGGGCAGAGCCAGAGGGCCCTGCATTGGCCCCTGTCTCTGCCCTGAGTCACTGTGTCACTTTGGCAAGTCATTTGTTTAACGAGACCCGTTTCGAAACCTGGGGGAGATCTGAGGACACGCTTCTCTTCTCTCTGCATTTCAGGGCCCAGCGTTGTTGGCTCTGAGAGAACTAACCCTTCTTGGAGGTTTACTGTGGTCCTCAGGATGGATAGGTTGTATTGAATTGCAAGTGACTTTGTTCTCACGGTAACCCTGGCAGAAACTATTCTGCTCGTATTCGTCCAGCGAGGGGGCTGATGAGAGGGGAGTTAAGAACGCAGGGGAGGTGTCGCTGCAGCTTCCTTGGTTGCCAGATGGGCCCCTACCCCAGGGAGAGATGAGCAGACACAGCCCATCTTATCTGCTCCACCTTTGGGCAGAGAGGAGCCCCACCCTTCAATTTGTGGTTTGATAAAGACTGCCAGGAAGACAGAAGAAATAGGGTGACTTGCCAAACTGAACCTAGCCAAGCCCTCTTCTGAAATATTTCAACTGTAAAATTCACGGCCCAAAAACTGAAGACTTATTTTTAATAACTGAGAGGCCCGGGGCTTGTCTGTTAGAAAACAAGAAAGAGGGTAGATTCAGGAGGGTCATTTTGCCCGGTGCATCTTTGGTGAGAATGATAACGCAAGTGCAGATTCCAGCTGACACGGTTCGGGAGGCCTCTTTTCTCCTGGGACCACCATCTTGAAGGTGGCAGTGGGACCCTTTCCCAGGAAGTGCCTGAACAGTCCTCCTCTCATAAGATTTGGGGTCTGGAGAGAATTTAAATGCCAGGTAGAAGTTGCCCAGTAACTTTTTTTTTTAATATACATTTATTTATTTTATCTCTGGCTGCAAATAACAAAGACGCGCCGACCACTGGGGAAACTCCATGGGCTTCAGGAGCTCTGCACCAAGAACCAGGGACAAAGACATGTTTCGTGTGATATCACAGTGGTGAGACACACTTTCGCAGACGCAGGAGTGGGTGGTCCTTCTAATCTCAGTTCATCTAAGAGGAGCGGGGGCTTGCCTGGCCTCCAGACTCCTGGCTGGAGTCCCTGCCTCCGCCCCTCCCCCAGTGTGCTGCAGTTTGGGGTTATTTCTTTGTCTGTAAAGATTGAAGGAACAGCTTCTGGAATGTGGGTGCCTGTTTGCTTGTTGTGACAGGAGCAAAGGGGGCAGAGCCAGAGGGCCCTGCATTGGCCCCTGTCTCTGCCCTGAGTCACTGTGTCACTTTGGCAAGTCATTTGTTTAACGAGACCCGTTTCGAAACCTGGGGGAGATCTGAGGACACGCTTCTCTTCTCTCTGCATTTCAGGGCCCAGCGTTGTTGGCTCTGAGAGAACTAACCCTTCTTGGAGGTTTACTGTGGTCCTCAGGATGGATAGGTTGTATTGAATTGCAAGTGACTTTGTTCTCACGGTAACCCTGGCAGAAACTATTCTGCTCGTATTCGTCCAGCGAGGGGGCTGATGAGAGGGGAGTTAAGAACGCAGGGGAGGTGTCGCTGCAGCTTCCTTGGTTGCCAGATGGGCCCCTACCCCAGGGAGAGATGAGCAGACACAGCCCATCTTATCTGCTCCACCTTTGGGCAGAGAGGAGCCCCACCCTTCAATTTGTGGTTTGATAAAGACTGCCAGGAAGACAGAAGAAATAGGGTGACTTGCCAAACTGAACCTAGCCAAGCCCTCTTCTGAAATATTTCAACTGTAAAATTCACGGCCCAAAAACTGAAGACTTATTTTTAATAACTGAGAGGCCCGGGGCTTGTCTGTTAGAAAACAAGAAAGAGGGTAGATTCAGGAGGGTCATTTTGCCCGGTGCATCTTTGGTGAGAATGATAACGCAAGTGCAGATTCCAGCTGACACGGTTCGGGAGGCCTCTTTTCTCCTGGGACCACCATCTTGAAGGTGGCAGTGGGACCCTTTCCCAGGAAGTGCCTGAACAGTCCTCCTCTCATAAGATTTGGGGTCTGGAGAGAATTTAAATGCCAGGTAGAAGTTGCCCAGTAACTTTTTTTTTTAATATACATTTATTTATTTTATCTCTGGCTGCACTGGGTCTTCGTTGCTGCGCGTGGGCTTTCTCTAGTTGCGGCGAGCGGGGGCTACTCTTCGTTGCGGTGCGCGGGCTTCCCATTGCGGTGGCTTCTCTTGTTGCGGAGCACAGGCTCTAGACACGTGGGCTCAGTAATTGTGGCGCACGGGCTTAGTCGCTCCGCGGCATATGAGATCTTCCCGGACCAGGGCTCGAACCCATGTGTCCCGCATTGGCAGGCGGATTCTTAACCACTGCGCCACCAGGGAAGCCCTTCCCAGTAACTTTATGCACCAGTTGAAACCATCGATGAGGTCTGTAGAAGCACTGCCCTCCCAGTTTTGATTTTCCCTGTGCCCTCTGCCCTTTCCCTGTAGCATCCCCGTAGCATCCCCCTAGCCCAGCCCTGCATTCTCTTGCCTGCAGCACTGGAGGAACTGGCAAACTCTCCCCTGCCTCCCCGTCTAGTCCCTTTCGTGCCCCTGTTTCCCTAGGATGTGGAGCTGATCCTGTCGCTGGCCCTCCGTGACCACTAGGTGCCCACCTGCCCGCCCACGATCCCTGCTGGACCCTCTCAGCCCCATCACTGACTTTCTCTGCACTCAGACCCCACATCTTTCATTGTCAACCCTCCATTGTACCCAAAGCAGTGCTGGCTGGGTGCAGAGTTGACTTTCCACGGCACCTGGGATGGGGGAATGAGGGCGCTCCCCACCTGGGGGGCTTTCGTCAGGCTGCTGTATCACAGGCCCTGGTCCATATTCTCACTGCCGCTCGTAGCCACACTTCAGTGACCTCCTCCAAGGCACCTGCCTGGGTTGCATTGATCAAATGCATGGCTCTCTACCCCGCTACTCCTGAGCACTTTGCTGTCCATACGGATATGACAGTGTTGTGCCTTCGCGTGTCCGTGGGTGTGTGTGTCTTCGCTCTCAAGTGTAGATTCCAGAAAGCGGGGACTAGGGTTTTCTCCACACCTGAAAGAAAGGCTGGCATACAACAGCACTCACTAAATCTTGGTTGAATACATCAGTAAACTTCTGGAGAACAGGCACTGTGTCTTTTTAAATGTTTGGATCCACCGTAGTATGTTCACATGAAAAGTACATCAATAAATGTCTTTTTAGATTATTCATCTAAATGTGCCGTTGGAGTTGTGAACATGCTCACTGCCAAACTTCCAGATCATGTCACATATTTTCTCTGATTTATAAAAGGCAATATATGGAAATCCTTAGAAAAGCATGTATGCATGCATGTGCACATACACAAATTTTTTAAAATATTGAGTCATTATTATGGGAAAAAATTTTGGAATCCATCCTAACTCCGAAAGCTGGCCTTACTCCTAAAGCCTTTTCCTACTGTTCTGGAGTTCTTTCCTTCGGTGGGACCGGGGACAGTAGTTTATCTCCATGGATGCCAGAGGCCAGGTTTTAAACTTGAAAAAGCCTCACGCATCTTAGGTTTCCAATACTTGCTGAGGAACCGAGTTATTATTCTGCAGGACCACAAGGGAGCTGTTTGCACGTGAGCTTTTTCTTTGCTCTGTCGGGTTATTTATCCTGTACAAACGAGCATTCATCTCTGTCTGGGTTTGCCCTCTTTTCCAGGGAGGTGCCCTTGAAGGATGCTAAGGAGTACGCAGAGTCCATTGGTGCTGTTGTGGTTGAGACCAGTGCAAAGAATGCAATTAATATCGAAGAGCTCTTTCAAGGAATCAGTAAGTACCTGATTTGTGTTTTCCGCACAGCTTGCATTTTTATGCTCTGGGAGTCAGGGGATAAAAACCAGGGAGTTCCAGAGGAGAGCATTTCCTCTGTGTGAATTTGTCCGATGCCACAGATACTAAACCCTGCAGTCCTGCCCTGGTTACTGCAGACCCACACAGTGCATCCTCATTCTCCATCTCCACGAGTCTGTGCTTTCACCTGCCGAGTCTGGGTTTCATGAATCAAAATGAAGTAATCCTGTTGAAAAATAAAATGTATTTTAATCAAAGAATTATGTATTTTATAGCATTTTATGTTAGTATGTCCAGGGGAGGAGAAAGAAAATAGAGAGTGATAAAGGTATAGAAAACCAAAATCACCCATGAAACTGAATGACTCTGGGCAAACGAAACAAGAGAAGCTTTTAGTCATTTCTTTTGCCTGGTGATTGTCGGCAAGGAGTGGTATCTCCATCCCATGTGACCTGAAGTTGGGAAGTGGGTGGAGAGTTGGTGTGGAAAACTTTTCCTCATTTCTGATGAGTTTTTTTTTTTTAATGGAAGTATACTTGATTTACAATGTCGTATTAGTTTCAGGTATACAGCAAAGTCATTCAGTTATACGTGTGTGTATATATATATACTTTTTTCAGATTCTTTTCTCTTACAGGTTATTACAAGATATTAAGCACAGTTCGATGTGCTATACAGTAGGTCCTTATTGGTTATCTATTTTATATATAGTAGTGTGTATATGTCAATCCCAAACTCCTAATTTATCCCTCCCCTTTCCCCTTTGGTGACCATAAGTTTGTTTTCTGTGTCTGTGAGCTGTTTCTGTTTTGTAAATAAATTCATTTGTTTTTTTTTTTTTTACACTCCACGTGTAAGAAGTGATATCATATTGTATTCGTCGTTCTCTGCCTGGATTACTTCACTCAGCATGATCATCTCTGGGTCCATCTGATCAGTTACTGATGGAAGCTGATGGCTCTTGTCTTTGTCCCCAGTCCTGGGTCGTGTTTGCTTCCCTATCTTTATGTTGGTCTCACGAATAACCTTCATCTGCGGCTGTTCCCCAGCCGACGGCCAGCTTGAACCTTCACAGCTTCCTTGGTAACAGCTTTTCCATCCTGGATCCCCGCAGAGAGCGACCTGCCGGTGGCTGTCTCGAGAAACTGTGTCCTGAGATGCCCTAGGAGCGTGTGCCTAGCCAGGTGCAGGGACCCAAAGTCCTGGGGTGCCCGTCTCAGGAAAGCTGAACCCCAGAACAGTTGGCAGTTGTTCTCAAGAATCTGGGCTACAGGCAATTCCAGAAGGGAATTCCAGAAGGGAAACTGATGTTTTGGTCTCCGTGCGGCCTGCAGTCCCTGTTGGCGAACCTCTCAGAGGCAGAGGGGAAAGATTTGATTTCCTTTCCGCTGGTTTTGGTTTGTTACTTCAGACTCCGAGAACCCACAGCAGGGAATATTTTGTTTGTTTCTCTTGGCTTGAAGGAGACTTCACCGCACATGAGGAGCTCTGACCTGGGTTACTTACAGGGCCCAGGAACACGCGAAAGAAGCAATGAAGCTCTCTGCAGCCCTGGTCCCACTTGTTTGCCGGGGTCCACATCCACTTCCCTTCCTTCCTCTTCAG